TGTCCATCCGTCCATTGGGACTTGTGGCTCTGAAATTTGCATCAAGTATGATTGTTATTTCTACGTTAAATCAAAGCTTAAAGACGCCCCTTCTTAACCATTGCAAAGCTTACTACTAAACGCGCCGAAACGTCCCGCTGTTAGAAGCCATTTAGGCTTTTAGAGAGTCCTTATGCCAACAAGTGCAAAGCTTCTACCTAAGCCTGCATCTGCCGGACCGACTGGGACGTTTTAAGTTCTTCAGGATTCACTATCTCAACAAGTTCACTGCACGTGCCAGACCTTAGGGAGCCCGAACACACTTCACAAAAACATGTCAACAATTGTAAAACTTGTTATTAAATGTGTGAAGGCGGCAGATTGATTAAGGCCACTTTAGTCACGAAGACCCACTAATTCAAAAATTGCTATGTTCTCAAGTGCCAGGTCGAGTCACCTAGGCTGTTCAAAGGTTTACTGCTTCAACAACTGCAAATCTTCTACTCCACGCGTAAACATATCAGATTGATGAAACTGATTTCAGTCTCGAATACCCTCCATCTTACTAATCGCAAAGATTTTGCCAGAATTGAAAATGTGGGGCCGATTGCAGCCAGCTAGAGTTTTCAGGAAACGTCATCGCAACAATCGCAAAGCTTGTCGTTAAATGTTAGTGTCAGCCTGATCGTGACAATTTCAAGTTTGCAACTCCACGCAATTTCCCCGTTAACATAAAGCGCTTTTAACTCATATAAACAACAAACTAAAAAACTAAACGATGCGCTGACAGGTAAAATTACAAGTCTCTATATACCGGGATATACCGCAGTATAGTATTAATACTAAAAGTTGTCTGTAAGGATTAAGTGATTGCTTCATTTGTTATACCTTAAGAGTCTATTACCTCTGCCATTTGGCATAATAAATAATTGCCGCTTGATTTATAGAATACAGAGACACACATGCATAGAGTGCTTTTGATCAGTTAAGAACAGAGCACAAAATATAAATTTCATTCCGTTGAAATAAAGTGAATTTTACGAAGCCTTCCCATTTATATCTGACTATAAACGAAAGAAATAAAATCGGCCCAAATGTTGGTCTGAGAACTGCGCTTGGGTGTCGTGATCAACTTGCAGACATTGTGGTAGAATTCTCAAGGATGAATGACAGTGTAAACCGCTTTGGGCTGATCATCTTCTACAACCACAGCCTAAAAGATAAGAAGTGCCACTAACAGGTTGACTTACGTCGATTTCAAGTCACTGAGCCGCGAACCACACTTTAATTACAGCAACAACTATAGTGAGTAGGAGGACTCCGACTCCGACTCCGACTTCGGCTATAGCCTACTGCCCCTTCCCTCCCTTTCTTTCTCCCTCATAGATGCGACTATTATTTTTGTAAAAATCAGCGAATTTCTTACCTGGACTGTTATTAAAAATTCGTCAAGTTTTCATCATGTCTTCTAATTCAGAGGACTGTAAACTTTTTTTGCAAACGCAACACAAACCAGAAGGTTCACAGGGTACGCGTAGTTACGATCAACATGAAATTTTAAATTCAAGGAGCAGCCGTTTTTTGCACACTTAACCGCGTTTGTCCACTATGGAAAAATCACTAGGAAATCTCTTGCTGTTCAAAGATATACGCAGGGCCTTGGTGAGATACGATTTTTTTCCAATTCGATCGTTCGGAAAGTCGTTTCGTATTTTTTTTCGAACAGACTTGCTTGATTTATAAACATTCTACAGGCTTTTGATGCACAAATATTTAATATATACAATTTTATCATCTTGTTCTTGCTTACAAGTCGAACTTTAAAATTTATATTCAATTAACATGAAGATATTGATCTTTATGAGTGCTTTTCAATATTTCTCTTTTCTAATTAAAAATTTATAAAATTTAAGGCCCACTTTGTCATGAGAGTCTTTTGCTACCGCACATGTGTTGATTTATATATGTACATGCATAATTATATATGTATATGTATAAATAGAGACAATCCAAAATTGTGTTACAACACATCATTCATATATCTATCTGTCGTTGTATGTAAGGAAGCATGTGTAACATGATGTTCGCTTTTATGCACACTTTTTCTTTACTTTTTTTTTGATTTGTCAAATGAAATATAGGAAGAGAAATTAAAAATAACATCTCCTACATAAGCTCTTATCGTTATAAAAATATTTGTGATTGACACAATCTTGAAAAAATAATTCTTTGAAATTTTAATTTTAGTTTAAAAATTGAATTTAAATTTAAAAGCAACGGTCACCTAAATTTATTTATCAAATAACAAATAAGACAGTTATATATGGCGCTGACCGGATCTTGTGCATCCTTCATTGTCATCTTGAAAATAGCACGAAGAAAATGAAGTTTGGATCCTCTATAACGTTATGAAGATTTTCATCATCATGGTCGCTCAGAGAATACACATTTATTTTGTGGTTTACCGCGTAGAGAACATGCAAATTCTCAGTGATGGGGTCCCTTACTGACAAGCGAAAAAATAATTTTGTTCTGTTGCACTTTTCATGTAATAAGCAAAAAATTCAATCTTTTTTTTCTTTAGAACATACATACATTTTCATTGTACGTTAGAGTACATGCACCGTCTGATTTCTTCCGCGTCCTATATTAAACTGCGTGCAAGACTTCGCTGTTAAGTTTGAAAGCGATATCACAAATTTTGCCGATAGCAGGAATGTTTACGGAATGCAAGCAGACAGGCGAGCAAACGTAAATACTTCGGAGCCTAACACTGACCAAGATATTGACAAATGAATGTACCTACTTCCTTCATCGGTGGATATAAATGTCTATCAGAAATTTGAAGGAAACAAACAACATCTCATACAAAACAAATATTCAATACTCATAACATCAATTCAAGTTTTTTATAAGAAATTTGGATTAAAAATTCCACGTATTCGGCTCAAAACTTTCGCTTTATACTTAATTGAAAACTCTACGGAAAGACAAGTTATCTCAAAGACGAGACAAGAAGCAGAGATATGTATACACAGAGACATTGAGAGATAGAAAAGTGAGAAAACAAAGGGGAATGATTAACTTGAACGATCAAACATAGTTAAAGCCTGAATTTAAATTTTTACATCAACTGAAGCCAAGTTACCGAAAACTAGGATTACTTCCGCAATTGTGGACAAATTCTCACTATAAAGCACATACTCTGTGACTGCCGTAACTTTTTCTTGGCTGCAAGTATTGCATTTGAAGCGACATTCTACAATCAGCTACAGAAGAGAATGTCAATACAATATTTTACTTTATTAAAATTACTAAGCTCAATATCTAATATACCTTTATAAATTAGAGCCGATAGCCTGTGTTGCTAGTGGTCAATTTTTTTTTTTTTTTGCTCTAAGAATTTATTTCATTAGTCTAAAATTATAATAATAATTATAATAATAACAATACTTTTCACCGAACAAACACAACTGGAAAAGACTCAGTCACTTTACTTCTTTTAACAATAGTTGTTCTTAATTGACTGCAAGTGTATGTAACGTTATGTAAACAAGCCGTAGATTTTGCGTAGTTGAAAGGCTTTTGGTCATATACTTCAGGAAGGATACTAAATGAGGATAGACGAACCGCTAAGCTAAGAAAGCAATCTGAATACGACAAACTACGCTGAACCTTTCAAAGTAAACGAAATGTTTTCTAGTGTTGCCATCAAAAAATTGTTGCTTCAGCTGTAAAGATTCACCCTTGCCTGATGATCTCTGAAATTATTGCTTCATCAAATAACAGTGTTTTCTTTCTTCCTTTTTTTTTTGTCTCTCAAAGATAATAAAATCTCTTAGTAACATACGGGGTTTAACAATGATCATGAAGACATGTCTAACAAGCAATATATTGAGAAAATCAAAGAAACCAACAAAAGTGCAAATTCCTCAAAGAACAACCAAAAGCTTAATTGACCTTAAGGGAGATGAAATTCCCCAGACTTTCATAGACCACGTTTTCCTGGCCTCATCAAGCACGAAGTAACTCCTTTGTACAATAACAATTCACTCCTGTGATAAATGTGAATTGTATGTCCGAATAAACCCATGACTTTTTCCGGTTGCAATTCTCAAAATAAATCCATTTATCATTCCGGGTAACAGTGTGATGCAAAAGCGACTTTCTTTGGTATTTTTTTAAGGAAAGAATAACGCTGTCGGTAAATGCTGTTGTAAAGTATGCTATTGTATTAAACTTGTGTTATTGTGATTACGCTGGCAGCTAGTAGTTTACATCTACAAGCGAATTGCGGTTTAAAATTTACATCAAGTAAGTATTTGTGCGAATTTTGGATAAATCCTATGGACTTTAAAAAACCTCTTCCACATAACTAAGCCGAGTACAGAGCATTAGCTAGTTGAAATATACCGATGAGTTAGCAACATATTTTAAACTTAAAAGGAACTGCTAGACTAGCACAAATGCACAGCTGAGTATAGTTCATCAAATAGTTAAACTGTAAAATCGCATTAAGCTAAGCAGACAATAGTAAATTCCAGGCTGAAGAACATCGATGATTCGAGGAAAACCAAAGAAAGGTCTATAATCCAAAGCAAGGCTGTCTGAATTTATGGTAAACTAATAAGAGTAACTGTTAGGTTGTAGGCAGAAAACTGCTATGTCTAATGTAGCAAAAGAAATGTCTCACATACATCTATAACGCTTGCTATAATTCACTGATGGAAGTTCGAGTAAATTAGTTTACCATCCATTAGAATAACAATACCAAAAAAGTATTAAGTATTTTAAATAAATCTGCATACACATAACATACAAATACCCTTTCTCTATTGCTGCCTAGCTATCTCCTTCGTTTAATTTTGCTTAAGATTTTTGGGTTCTTTTGTGTTATCAGAATAATTTATTTTCTTATTAATATTTTCTTAAGTGGACACTCGAAACCCTTTTTAATGTTTCATTTAATTTAATTAAAACTAACATATTATTTATACTAATATTTTTTTACTGCAACTCACCATTTTGCCCTAGTTTCAAATTTGTATATATTTAAATGTTTCCGTTCCGCATACACATATATCCGTTCCAAATATATATATATATATATATATGTATGTATTGGTATTATAATCCCATACGTATTTGCAAACAATGGCATTTAATAATTGCAATTTTGTATGTGAGTTTTGTTATTGTGTTGGTTGTTCGTTGTAGTTGCAAAGAATAGAAAATTCACAATTAGCATAATTCATAAATTCGTTGAAAGAGAAAAGAATATTTATTCACAACATATAATATTTGGGAAAAAAGTAAATTAGGTTAAATGGAAAAACGGAAAAACGGAAGCACAGTAAGCACAGAAAATGAGCAACGCTTTAACTTACCATGAGCATGAACAGCAACAACACCAGCAAAAACAACAAGGTTTCTGCGATTGTTGACGCTGTTGTAACGGCGTCGACACATCGGGAAGACCACCGCCCGTATTGCCCGCAACGGCTTGTAAAGCCGTCGTTGTTGTCATACCACCCGTTGGGTTTAACATGCTACCGATGTGAATTCCACCTGAATTTGTACCATTCCCACCCCCATCAGTACCTGTATTCTGCGAAGCTGAACTCATGCCGCGTAACCGACATCCTGATGGCAGTTCTGATACAGTGCAAGACATTCTCTAAAATAAATAGAGAGAAAAACAAGCACAGATAAGTAAACAAGCTCATATATTTATGTATACATATGCAGGTATATATATATATATATATATATATATACAAACAACATATGAAATATGAAAATTTTTTCTTGTTTCTCTCAATTATAATTAAGACATTCAATTAAATTGATGGATGGATGGTGTGAGGTGTTTGTCAAAATCGCAACTTACCTCAAGTTAGTTAAAGTCTTTTAGTGTTTAATTAAATTTTCGTTCTTTTTTTCCTCCTTTTTGCTATTGCTTTAGTCTTTGGTTATAAAATTGAAGCAGTTTATTTATTACACTTATTGTTATTAAATTATTTAATAATATTTTAAGAACATTTCCGTTTTATGTTCTAGCGCAGTTTGTTAACTGGCCGTTGAAGTATAAATGCAAGCATCTGTAAAGAAAAAAAAGAGAAAATTATATGCCTGGGATATCCGCTGAGCTCAGACCAAGATATAAAATAAAAAGTAAAGTAAGGATTTTTTTATTCAACATTTAGATGATTCTAAAAAATATAAACTCGCCCGTTAGCTCGCAATTTATTGTCTCATAAAGTGAAACAAGCACCAATTCTTGATCTTTTATAGACTTAAGTTGATCGCTTAAACTGTGGCGATCAGCATACCTCGTACAACTGGAAAATAAAAGAAGCTTTTCAAGTTACAAAAAACCTTTGATTAAGCTGGAAAAGGAGAGATTATTAAAGGGAGACTATATGAGGACAGTGAATACAATAGATAATAGGATAATTGTGATGGTGTTCTGCACATATTTTTCCAACTCCAATCTACTTGCTTACGTACAGCCCACCTATCCATTTGCTCAAAAGCTACTTCGCTTATGCAGCTGTGGCTACTTGTGCACCTGGTTCTATCTGTCTACCTTCGTAGATGAAATAGCTGATCGCTTTTGTTCTCTTAGAAAATTTTATTTTTTTTATGCTTACCATATATAAAACGAGCTTCCTTCTCTCTTCCCCTCTCTTCTTTTACAAATTCGGTTTTTAAATTTTGCGTCAGTCAAAAATATTAATTCACGTATACTCTGTAAAGGTTATTACAAATGGAAGATCGTGTAATATCCTCTTCCCCACCACCTTTCTATAATACACATAATTATTTCACACATCATTATAACAATCAGCGGAGTAGGAGACAATCACTGTGTTATAGACGTATTTCGTGGCTCAGTATATAAGAGCCTTTCAGCTATGTCAACGTAATGATAATCGTGGTGTTTTTGTCGCACTCTAGATAGGATTCATATAAAGGACTCAGCAAGATCGATCTAAAATTCATACAGAGTTTATTACTGTATCGTAACTTCACTTTCACCAAACGTACAATTTCTTTAAATCACTGTAGTCGGGCACGGCCCACCATTAAATACCATACACAACTTCGGTAAACACAGTTATTCATTTAACGAATGTTCAAAAGAGGGTGTTTAACACGGAACGGAAAAAAACTAGTTCGATTCGAATCAAGTTCAAAAGCATTCGACTTTAAACCAAAATGGGGCTGTGTACCCAATTTCATTAAAATATTTCAAAAATTACGGCCTGGAGATTGAACACAAGAAATAAGACGGACAGACAGACAGACAAGCTTAGGCTGATTCAAAAAGTGGTTCTGAATGAAATATTTTTTTAGCAAATTAAGCTGTTCTCTGTTTAGTTCTGATTTTGATTCGATGGGTTTATTCTTATCATCCATAAATTTTCTTTTTTCTTCTGCGCTGCTTTTGTAAAGAACCATGTTTTTGTCTGCTCTTACTATGAGTGCTTTTATCTATGAAGCAAAATTCGGCATCATTTGCACAGATGTACAAAATCGCGGCAATGTTATGTAGAATGAATACAATGCTATACAGCATTACATTTGCGCTACGAATTCTTTATCAGCAGAGCTAGCATACAAAATAACTCAATTCCTCTAACAGCAGACTTCACTATCTTTATTAATTAATTCATTAGAGGACTGATTGAAGTTTGAATTGTAACGAGATCAAGCCATAATATTAGAAAGAATTGCAACTTGCAACTGCCTCCTATGAACCTAATAACAAAAATCTTGTGGTAAGTGTATCTTATTTTTCGAATGGAATGAGAAACAAGATTAAACGTCACCAGCATAGCTAAGTTTATTTGGAGTCGGGATGAAATAGTCGCATCATCTATGTATGAATAGCGGTTTATAGATAAAACAGTAAGAGATCATCGCAACGCCTTCTCTAATTAACGTTGAGGAAAATGCCGAACATGGGGGAATGAACTAAAAAATTTTTTTTTAATTGGACTTTGAGAGAGTATCGCAGAATGTAGTTAGTGTTTAATTTGAAGTAATTTTTCGACACGTTTATCCATAGAGGCGAAAAAATCATCCGAAAAATCTGATTTTAAATACCGTTCATACTCATTACCACAATAGTCCAAGGCAGCTGTAAATTTTTATATGTAGAATATACTCCATTTAGCACATGTTTGGCCAGCTAAAAACAATGTAATCTCTAGTTTCTTCTTCCTTTCTGCAGGTAATCCCTATCCAACTTGCATACTTATGCTTCACAGTAAACTACTTAATCGTTATACTTTAAACAACGTATAGTAGAGGGGCACACTACGTTTATGGGAATGTGTACAACACTTAGACGAACTTACACAGAACTACCTTATATTATATGGGCCGATTTAACCTCACTTTCTCAATCGATTTAAACTTGGCTGTCTATCTGTTGTCTTGTTTTTTGTTTTCTTGTGTTTAACTTATAGGCCAGAAGTTTTGAGATATGGTTCGGATCGGAGTATTTTTTTGATCACCTACCATGTAAAGCCCTATTTTGAAAAACAGTTATATGAATAAGTGTAGGATAGGGTATTTTAATTTATTTAGCATCGTGGTGCTCTGCAACGCACTTATTTGTTTTAATTTATAAAACATTTTTTAAGAAATAATTCATTAACTATCTTCGAAAAGCTTTTCAGCCTTAATATACGATTATATAATGTGCACTGTAAAATTCAAAAAACTTCAATTACTACTTTGCAAAGTATAAGAGGAAAACTTTCTTCTCTAAATATAAAAATTCAAATTTTTACTGCATACTTTTAGAGAATAATATAAACAAATTTCTGCTGCTTACTTTTAGACACAAACTTTCAAAGTTCTTTGCTCAAACGAGTGCATAATCTTTTATAAGACAAAAATAAAAAATACGTTTACCTAATGTTACAATTCAGGAAACATTTTCTTGGATCGTATAAGCAATTTTAGAAATTGATTATCCGTTCTCTTAGACAAACATAAGAAAATCAAGTACATTTCCGTTAACTGGAAACTTATTAACTGCCAGATTAACGTTAAATACGTTTTTCTCAAAGAGTATCGTAAGTGCCTCACGCTTATGAACACTTCACCCAATTTTCTACGTGAATCGTGACAATTTTTTAAGGAATAAAAGAATGAGAAATGAAATCTTATTAAAACGAATGTTCAATTTTTTATTCGGCCCATAGAGTGGGGACCAGATTATGCAATCTTATTCTCTGATAGTAGGCAAAAAAAACAAGACATACACTCAGATATACGCCAAGTCCGGTTTCTGGAAAAAAAATCTTATAATTATAGAAAAACAAATAAAAACACTATAGCGGTTCACGGTCCATTATTAAATACCGTACGCCACTCTAGATATATTCATTTAACTATTTTTCAAATTAAAGTATTAAATGGGAAGCGTCCGAAAAAAGCGCCCCAAACCGAACCATCTGCAATAATCGTTCGTTCTTGGCCCAAAACACGTCAGTGCACCAAATTTCATTAAAATCTCTAAATAATTGAAGCCTGTAGGTTAGACAGAAGAAAAAAAAGGTGGACACTTTCTGTAAATAATGATAAGAGATGCTTCTATTTCTTCTGTGTGTTGCACACAACCGCACAAGATTAGTATATCTTTGTATCACAAGTGGCGTAATGAGCAAATGTAAAAATAAAACGATTTGCTTGATTTGTGCGTGCTAGCATGAGTTCGCTAAAAGTGCTCCCCAACGTAGAGCTTAAATTCCCTTAACAAGAAGAAGTCGCAGTTCCCCAAGTTCTCGAAGACAACATAGTATCCTCTGTTAGAAAAATCGATAAATAATTGTTTTTACCCCTCAGCGTATTTTTGAGTCATTTTAGAATCATGTACGATCACGATCGGTCGAAGTTAAAAGAAATCTTCAAGCACTCATCTTCAGTAACCGCTAAGACGTGGAGCATCATCGAATTCAATATCTGTCCAAACAAATTTCATGAACATTTTTGCCCTTACAAAAAAAGGAGGAATGTATGGAAATTAAACATTTTTATCTTAAATGTTTGAAGAAAAATTATTTTTAAAGAAGACAGAATGTTGAAAATTACTTTCCCCATATGATCTTATCTGTCTAAAAGTGTGTTAATTCTAAAATAAGTGTGGTGGGCCCCATGGTGTGCGAGACTCGTCTCGTATTAGCAGTGTAATCAATCGAGTGTCAAATAATAAAACTGGGAGAGTAAATGAAGGTAGCAGATGGTTCGTTGTCCATAAGCTACAGCAAACGCCTACACATTATTATAGAATATAAAAATTAATAAGTCTCCGGTTTGATACATAACTGGCAGCACTGTTGACAGTCTCTTAAGATTTCTAGGTAGTACTAACCTTCAAAGATTATGTGTCAAAACTTCATGACATTTCGATCATTAATTTACAAGCTGAAGTTGTTTTAGTGACAGTGTTTGGACGGTGTCCGCCGGTTTTTTTCAGGTAACTTATTTCGAAACAGCGATTTGCAACACTAATCCGGTCGGGCCAAGGCAGAGAGGAGAGGAAGATGGAACATCCTCTTCCCCTTCCTTGCTGACCCGTCACGCCCTTAAAATATCTCTCCGTCGAAAATAAAATTCGTCGCCATCCATCACGGGGGATCGCACGCTATAGATGGCAAAAGGAGACCGTCCATTTCGTCCGATGACCACTGACGATAGGTCATTTCAGTTAAGTATAGGCATTTAAATATTAATTTATGGCCGCTAGAGCAGCTGCGCCCTTTCTTTATTATTCGAACTATGTATTTTAGTTAGTGACATAAGTTAATTAAAAAATGAATACTGAATTGTAGCGTCAAGAGATATTAGGTATTTATTCAGATGAGGCGCTGATGCTCACCCCGTGAGCGGAATTTGTTTAAAAACTAATTTTTCCTATTGCGAAAAATTGCATTTTTCACAAATATTGTATAGAAAAACTCACCTTCTATTTCACTCAAAGCACGCCAACCACCGCTCTGAGCAGTCAACATGTTATTATAACTTCAGTTTCCAGTCTTACAAACCGATTTGATGCATCTTGTTATGTTTTCTGGAACAAGTG